GTTAATAATTCTATGTGGTTCAAAGGAAACTTTGAACTTTTCGTCTCATCATAGGTGGGGCTAATCTTGAATCACTGCAATCTTTAGATAATCACTTAAAGTATTCTAAACCATGATGCCAAGAAGTTCTAATTGTTTGCACATCAACATACACTTACCAAGTTTCAATCTTAATTCATCTGTCCTTTTCCACTGCAAAACCATGGCCAGGTTAACAACAACAGATTCAAACATTTGGCCAAATACCAAGACATCAAACACACGTACCAGGCATCTCTTCCTTTCCAGCCCTTTGAACATAAACTCCATCGACCTCTTGAAAAAGGATGGAGTGTAACACAGGCTGAATGGCATGACTCATCTCAAACGACACATCTCAAGTGCTAGGTGTAGTTTTTACTCTGTTATCTATTTTGATTTGTCAATATCCAGAGACCATATCTAATGTACTGAACCATTGTAAGCCTTCAAATGCATACAGACATTCATCTATTTGTCTAAATGGAAAGAAATCAATGCATGCTATGGCATTAAATCTTCATAAATCAAAACATAGTCTGTTATTATTATCTTTCCTTTGAATGATCACAACTGGAGAGACCACTTACTCTGAAGGCTGAAAGATCCTTCAACGTCCATGTAATCTCAGCATTGGCTATGCCCTTTGTGCTCCAGTGATGCCTGCATGGTGGTTGTTTTATTAAACACGAGTCACTGGTTTCTATTTCATGACTTTGTCCAATTTTCCGTGTGATACAACAAATATATTGGCACCTTTGTCCAGCAAACTACTGAGACTCAGTCAGTAAGTTGAATTTGTAATTGTAATTGTTAATTAGCATACTCAGGTATGCTTGAAGCTGAGTATTCGTCTTCATTTGCAATATGATGGAAATATCCCTAATCCTATAGCTGGTATTATTCATCTCCACTTTGCTTGCTGCCTTAATGACTACTCCAGTGGTAAGCTGGAACACAAGTGGTCATAAGTTTCAGAAAAGAACCAATACTGCACCTCTCAATAGAAAAATCACTATCACCGCTACTGCTGCCTGCTTTTTTGACAGGAAACACTGAGTCATTTTCATTGGCTTAATTACAGCTTGATATGGCAGCAACACAATCGTCAGGTCTACCACTTACACAAACAAATATACTGTTGCGTCATCGAGGTCACATGACTGGTGTGGCGCCACCTATTTTCTAGAACTATCCTGTACCTTGGCGAATGCTCTAGTATTTACTAGATATAGCGTAGGCTGGTATATAAAAGAGGGCGATAACGTGACGGTAATGTAATGTGTGTGTAGATAGTGAGTAATTAAACTGCAGTCAGAAGTATTGTTGACGTTCGTATAGCGTTTGTTATAGAGCGATTGTTGAAAATAAGTGTATCGTAAAGTTGTATTCGGAAAGAATAAACCAGTTTTATTAAGTAAAGACTTGTGTCGTT